CAAGTCCCTTTATATGCCCCCCAACATATACCCCTTAACTCTTTGACTCTTTAAAAATAGCCTACCAAATCCAATTTGTTGTTGCATGGGTTTGGGACTGCACATGAGAAACCTAACAATTGGGAACGTCATGATAAAAGATAAAAGCCGGACAGTGGTGGCGCATGCCTTTAATCCCAGCACTTGGAAGGCAGAGGCAGGCAGATTTCTGAGTTTGAGAGTTCGAGGCTAGCCTGGTCTACAGAGTGAGTTCCAGGACAGCCAGGGCTACACAGAGAAACCCTGTCTCTAAAAACCAAAAAAAGAAAAAAAAGATAAAATGATTTCCCTCTCAGAGAAGCTACCAACTGCCAAAAACTCCTTAGGATGGGATAGGCCCTAAAGAGTATATCTATGCCAGAAATTTGGCTGGCAAGTTTTATTTTGGTAACCATAGCTGTTTCCTTTACCTTTTGTGATACTGAGAAGTGAACTCAGAATTTTATGGATATTAAACAAATATTCTAACAATTAAAGTACTCTACCACTGAACTACATCCCCAGCTCTCTTCTCTTTCTGATTCTTGTTCTGAGTTACAGTCTCACTAAGTTGTTCAGGCTGACCTAAAACTTACTCTGCAGTCTAGACAGGCCTTGAACCTGTGATCTTACTGTTTCAGCCTCCTTGATCAGCTAAAATAATAGGTCTCTGCTACCAGGCCTAACTTGTTATCGCCTTAAATACCTTCCAAATTACTGGATCATAACCATTTTAATGTTTGTTATTTTTTAACCAAAGCTAAATTACTTAATGCCCTATGATTTTAAAAACAAGTATAGCCTGATTTCATCCAATTTTGTATCTATTTATTTATGTAGGTACACATGTGCCACAGCAAGAGTGCAGGGGTCAGAGAACAACTTTCACAAGCTGGCTCTCTCCTACCACAATGTGGGTGCTAGAGATTGAACTATTGGACATCAGGCTTAGTGGCAGGGATCCTTACTTAATGAACTATTTCCCAAGGCCCATCTAGTTTTAATTCATTAAAAAATTTTAAGCCAGGAATGGTAATACATACCTAAAATCACACTGCTAGGGAGATAAAAGCAGGAGTTCAAGGCTATCCTGAGCAAATCAGATTTTTAATTCAATGGAACACAGTACTCATCCAGCCTTGGTTCAATCCCTGGTAAAAGGGGAGTGGAGGAAATGTGCACTCAATGTCAAATGGGTATTTTTTTTTCTTTCCAAAGCTTTACTTATCCTTAGGTTTGACTTTTAATTTGGACCCAAATACTCTGATCTAGAACAAAATGATACAAAACAAAACCCCAAAATACTGCCTGACTACTGTCATTACATGATCTCATACTAGGAGTCACATTTGTTTACTTTTAATATGGAAGGGACTTTTTATTTAAGTCAAAATGAAAATTTTTTTCAGAAGCTTGGTTAAAAAGCATGAAAAGTTCTAAAAACCATGGCTTCATTCTATAAGCTAAGACTCATTTCATTCTGCTCCCAAATGGTGACTTCGATTATTAAAAACAAGTCAATGTAAGATTTTTTCATTAGTGTGATCACACCCACATCTACATAAAGAACTAAATCCAAAGCCAGGAGGTGATGGCTCACGCCTGTAAGGCAGAGGATAGCCTGATCTCTGAGTTCAGGGCCAGCCTCATTTACAGAACTAGTTTCAGGACAGCCAGGACTGTACACACACACACACACATACACACACACATATACACACACACACACACACACACACACACGAGCCAAAAAGAGAGAGAACTAAGTCCAAAAACTTAATAAATTCTGAGAAAAACTGAGGAACTTTAAAGTTATTAATTATTGTGAACTATTATTAGTTCTAAGACAGTAAATTATCAGTCTGTAAAACAAGCATACTACATTCTGAGAAGTCCTTTTAAAAGTGGAATATCTGACTGCTATGGATACAGTTCTATGTTAAGGAGCTTGCCAGAATGCAAAAGGTCCTCAGTTCAATCCTAAGAACAAACAAAACAACAACAAAAAAAGTAATAATAAAGATAAAAAATAGGGCTGGAGAGATGGCTCGGGGTTAAGACATCCTGAGTTCAACTCCCAGCAACCACATGGTGGCTCACAACCATCTGTAATGGGATCTGAAGCCCTCTTCTGGTGTGTCTGAAGACAGAGACGGTGCACTCATATACATAAAATAATTATTTAAATACATAAATAATAAATAAATAAATAGTATAAGTAAAAGCTAGCATTTATAAATGAAATGTAATTGAACAATTGAATTCCTGGATAAGTAATAGACCCTTTGTACAAAAAGAATTGTCTTCCTATAAATCAGTTACATCTCAATTATTGAGTATGACTGACCAGTAGGAGTAGAGGCATATTTTGACAAGTTTGCCAAGGAAACAAACAAACAAACAAACAAAGGAGGTAAGTTAGTTTGCCTGGCATGGTGTGGCTCGAGCCTGTAATACCAACACTATAGAGACTGGGGCAGAAGAATCAAGGATTCAAGGCCAGCTTGGAGTACACAATGAGCCTTCACTATATAGAGTAAGGGAAAAAGCAGTATATCAAAAAACAAAATAAATAAACCTACTAAAAGTAATTTTTTAAAAAGACCTGTCAGCTGGGCAGTGGTGGCGCAGGCCTTTAATCCCAGCACTTGGGAGGCAGAGGCAGGCAGATTTCTGAGTTAGAGGCCAGCCTGGTCTACAGAGTGAGTTCAGGGACAGCCAGGGCTACACAGAGAAACTCTGTCTTGAAAAAAAACAAAACAAGCCGGGCAGTGGTGGCGCATGCCTTTAATCCCAGCACTTGGGAGGCAGAGGCAAGCAGATTTCTGAGTTCAAGGCCAGCCTGGTCTACAGAGCGAGTTCCAGGACAGCCAGGGATACACAGAGAAACCCTGTCTCGAAAAACCACAAAAAAAAAAAACAAAAAAAAAACAAAAAAAAACAGACAACCTGTCACATTTCCAACTCTAATCCACTATAAAATTAGTAAGGCATTAGTTTACTTCATATTGTGCTTAGAAGTTCCATTTTAAGTGTTCAACTCAGGGAAATGTTCCTGAAGAACTTGCCAATTTCAAGTTTGCTTCCACATCCTGTGTTAACTTTCTTTCACATTGTTAAAAACAAAACGAACACTCATTTCCAAAAAGAAAATTTCAAGCATATAGGGAAGTAGAGGGGAAAGCTTAATCGACTACCTTGCACTGAACAATCATGTGCTGATAATTGTTGAAGCTGAGTAATTGCTGGCTACATTCCTCTCACCTTCACTAGATATTTAGAAGCAAATTCCAAACATTATTCCTTTCACATTTCATAGCCTTGGGTCATTTGGAAAACAAGATGTTTGTTTATTAGTTCTTAGGTAAATCAAGTTCTAAGATTATTTCAGTTACGTTCCAATCCTATTTCAGTTTGGTCCATTTTCTTGACAAGAAATCATTAGTGGCACTTTTCATCTATGACGTAGCTGAAATTCTGCTTCCACCACTAATATGTGCTCATTTCTGGATACAAACAAGAGCCAACAAACCAATATTTATATAGATGCTTCATAATAACATCTGTCTATTGCTATAGTAGGTCAAGCACTAATCTATTTAAGTCTAGAATATACCTACACTTTATTTATAACCTGAAAATTTCCCTATGAGACAAAAAAAAAAGAAGAAAGCACTGTAATCCTTCAGATTCTTGGGAAGTTTCATTTAAAAATCTTTGCCGGTCAGTGGTGGCGCACGCTTTTAATCCCAGCACTTGGGAAGCAGAGGCAGGAGGATTTCTGAGTTTGAGGCCAGCCTTGTCTACAGAGTGAGTTCCAGGACAGCCAGGGCTACATAAGAGAAACCGTGTCTCGAAAGCAACAACAAAAACAAACAAACAAAAAAAAAAAACAAACCCATCTTTTATATCCCTGGCATAGTGGCATGAACTTATAATCCTGTTATTCTGGAGGCTGAGGCAGAGGGATCAACAAGTTCAGGACAGTCTGAGCTATACTTTAGGACACTGTCACAAAAATCTTTTATAACAATATTACAACAGTGATGGTATTATCATAACTTTCAAAGCACTTATACAATTTTGCATGGACTTTTTATTCACTATGGACTGACTAAGATGAAGACAGACACTCTAATGAACAGTGTCAGATCACAGCTAGCCACATGGCTTAAGCACTGGTAGGTGGTATAATGGTAGATGCATACTGTACCTTCCTACTCTGAAAGCACTCATTTTTAAAGGGAAAGAAAAGAGAATTGGGGATCAGGACTAGGTGATTGTTTTGATGTTTTTAAGACAGTGTCTCACTATGCAGGCCAGACTGGCCTTGAGCCTCAATTGAGGTTCTCCTGCCTCGGCCTCTAGAGTAGTTGGGATTTTCAGGCATGCCCTCTAACACCTAGAAAGCAATTCTGTTTTATTATCTACTAAATGTCTATGCTGCTATCAAAAAAAGCTGTTCCTTAAAGTACAGGGTCTTGTCTAACAACACGATCTCAGAGATGGAAACACACAAGGCAGTTCATTATTGCAGAGACTCAGCTGAGACTGAAGTGCACAGGGAAAAAGGGTTTGATATTTACTTAAAGCAAAAAATTTTCCCAAAGGCTGAGGATATATATAGCTCAGTGGGAAAGCACTTGTCCAGGCACCACTTGTTCAATCCCCAGCATAAGGGGAAACCCTTTTCCAATAATCCCATGTCTCCTGCCTGATATTAAACACATAAGTTTGTACTTAAATGACTTTTTACCCCCTGGCTGATAACAACCCCTCTTGACACTAATAGTTCCTATCTTTTCCAAACACCTAAACAAAAGTTCCACAATTTCCCAATTTCAATCTCTTCGGACACTGGCCTCCCCCGCCCTCTCAGAGTCAGAGAATTACAAGTAAAGAGTGAACTCGACAAACTGGCTTAACCGAGCCAAATTTGGGATCCAAACGACCGAATAAGAAAAAAGGAGGTGGGGCATTACCTGCAATTCACACCAGGCGACTTCCACAGTGGTTTCGGTATCCAGACCTTTGTAGACCGTCTTAAAGGAGCCTCTGCCGATTTCGATGTCAAATTTGAGAAAGCGACCGTCATTGGACATTCCCACTGCCTTGGTCTCCAGCTCTTCGATGTCATCCTGTTGCTGGTTCCTACCCTCCTGCGGCTCTTTGGCGCTGGCGCCACCGCTGCCACTTCCACCTCTGGACGGCGGTGGCTCCTCTTTGCTCTCTACGGGGCTGGGCTGGGACACCGGGCGGTCTTTGCTGGTACTGCTGGGGACGGTCGTGGTGGCCAAGCCTACAACGGCTTGTTCCCCAGGGGAGGCAGCAGCCGAGGGTTGCTGAGACACCTGGGAAGCAACGGTGGCGGTCAAAGTTTCCTCTCTGTGAGGCTCCGGCGGAGCACTCTGAGGCACCACTGCGGGTACACTAGGTTGCGGGATAGAGAGGGGGAGGCCCGGCAGCTCCAACGCGGTGGCATTGGAGTCGCAGATGACGCTTCGGCGGAAGAATCGGTGCTCCGTGGGGGTGGTGGTGGCGGCCGCCCCACGACTGTCCTTGTCCATAGTGTGCCGGCGGCGCCGGTATTCCTCCGTCCTGCCAATTCCCGAGTCGGCGCCCGTGGCCCCCAGTTTCTCGCCCACGGAAGAATCGGAGCTTGAGCCATTCTTGGGGACTGGCGCCGGAGGCGTCAGGAAGCCTGGAGTGCCGCTCTGCTTCCCGGCGGCGCCGTCAGACATGGTTGGTCCGGTGGAGTGAAGAATGCGGGCTCGGATTTATGAATGAAAAGGGGAAAGGGTGGCCCGGAGAAGCCACCAAGAAGTGCTGGGCAGCGCTCCTACGGCGGCCTCGGAACCACCGGACGACTCCCACTCAGCACTGACAAGGCGCCCCGAGGACGACGCGGGACACTGAGTCCGGCTGCGGCGGCTGCTGCTGCTGGCACCGAGGCTGCTGCGGCTCACGGGGCGGGCTTGTCGGCGGGCGAGGAGGGAGCGGAGCCACGGGGGTTAGCGCCGCACAGTCCGCATCCATCCTGCAGCGAGCGGAGGCCGGTAGGGCTGTGGCAGCAGAAGCGCCGCAGTCATGAGGAGCAGGGCACGGAATTGGCTCCCAGGCGAGCGGATGCGACGAAAGTGAAGACGGCTAAGAAGCTCCCGCCGCTGCCGCCGCCCGCCGAGCACGGCGGGATAGGCCCTGAGGGCGGAGGCACAGCGCGCGAGGGACGAGCCCCGACGCCGGGCGGTGGCAGCCCGGGGCACAGGAGTGGGAGGGGCCGCGCAGGGGAAGGAGGGCCGCGGCCCGGGTTCCCGGTCTCTCGGCCGCCGCCTCAGGCAGCACGCGCCCCGGAGAGGGGACCAGTCTCAGAGGGCGCCCATCACTAGATGCTGAGGGCCGAAGCCTCGAAGCCTCGAAGCCTGAGGAGCGGCCCCCCCCGTCCCCGAGGCCTCCCCGCCCGCCCCGGGCCTGGCGAACCTCTTCCCCTCTCTGGCCGGCGCCGGGGGCAGAGGAGGGAGGGAACTGTGGGGAGGGGAGGGCCGCTCACCGCGGGGCCCGGGCTCCGCTACTTCTCTGGCCAGGAGGAGAGGAGACCGAAAGAATTGGGAGGAGGGGGAGAGGGAGAGAAAAGAGCAGTCACCCCACTAGGCGCCTTCTGTCAGCGAAGAAGGGAGTACGGAATAGCCGAGCAGAAGAAGCGCGTCCGCCCGGGAAACTCTCCGCTTTAAATGGCGCCGAGGTCTGAAGCCTCCACACAGCCCGCTTGGACCCCGCCCCCCGCCGCCCGGGGCGGCCCCGCCCACATCGCGCTCGGGGGCTCTCGCGCAGGCGTGAAACTACGATGGGATTTGTAGTTTCTTAGTGAAAACCGTGAAAGGAACCCCGGAGAAACGCGCCTACTACTTCCGTGATGCCCTGCGATTGCTCTAGCCTAGTGCCTCCTGGGAATTGTAGTTCCTTTTTTGAAAACCGCCCCTTGTGAAAGCCTGATGGGAGCGTCATCGTGGGTCGCTCAATTCCATTCCAAACTCAGTGCTCCCTATCAAAATCATTATTTAGGAATCAACCGCAAAAGAAGAGAAAAAAGGAGAGAAAAAAGAGGAAATGAGAGACTTCCGTCATGTTCTGCTTTGATAGCTCATAGAGCTGCCATGCAATGAAAAATGATCTGTTGTTCGTCTTTAATGGAGAGCCTCCTTAGTGTTGAGTGACTAGGGCTGTGGAAGTGGAGTAGAAGGTAAAGCTGGATAACCAAAGCCTGAGTTCGAAGATTCCCAGGAAACTTTGTGAAGAGTACACATACGATCACTGTTGATTAGATGGGTTAAGGAAGACAAAATATAGTCCATCCTTCTAAGCCACATGCTCGTCTCCAGTTTCCAAACAAGTACTTTGGCTGCAAAGATGGGCTACCTACTAAATAAAACCCAGGATCAGAGCGAACCTCTTTGCTTTGCCAGAAACTTAACGGGAACGGGAGGTGTGGGGGCGAGGAGGGGCGGGTGACAAGCATTGGGAGGAGGTCGAGTTCGAAGATAGTCTACATCTGATCTTTGATTACAAACCTGAAAGGACATAGTTGACTTTCGCCTCGATATTTGAGTAAAAATTATTTTCCATTTGTTTTGTTATACTCTCCCTCGGTGGCTCAGTAAAACATCCCCTTTCTTTACTACACTTGCATATGTATACATATATAATTTGTACCGAAGCGCGGAACTCGGGAAACCTAGATCCGTGCGGTTTACAGTAATGGAATTCTTCTCTTCAAAATATCCCTAGTGCTTCCTGGACCACCTTTGCTACTACGTAAGATTATAGTTGTGATGAGCACCAGGGGGCACTAGACAGAGTAGGAAACCAAATTTATGAGCCAAATGGCAGTTACAAGTCTTAACCCAACCGGTGAGAGCGGGAAGCGCTTAAACGTACGCAACCGCACCGGAGCGTGAATACGCCGCAGCCTCAGCCCGGGACTGGAGCGAGCTCTCAAGAGCGTTTTCTTAGTCTGAGACCCTATGAGAGCAGCAGTGATTTGGAAGAAGCTAGAAAGATTCGTTGACTCAGCGTATCTAGATTAACTCCGCATAGAGAAGTCTTGCTATATACAATTAATATTAACTTATCAGAAACGTTTAAAAAGAAGTTAGCACTTTTCCTTTTTTTTTTTTCTTGCTGAAAGCTACCATATAAGTTTTAGAGTTTGTTTGAACCATATGGTTGCTAGATTTCATAAAGAAGGCAGGTTGTGAACGTTTTAAAATACAAGTGCAGAAGGGGCAGAGACAATACTGACATTAGTGCTCTGCTGCTGTAGAAAGTCATTAGTTCGCTATATTAATGGTAAGTTTGTTTTAGTACATTCAATTAGTGGTTTATCTTCAGTCATAAATCTAATGTCAGCAAGTGAAGAAGTAGCTGTGAAGTGCATTCTTCTTGTACTTTTTTTTTCTTCTTGTACTTCTTGAAGCTTTTGATTATAATTTTCTCAATTGTTGCTTTACCAAAGAGAACTTTGTTTATAACACAAAGCAACTTAATTATACAGTGGTGAATTTTTAAAAGACCAGTAAATAACAATGTTTATTTTTTTTGTTTCTATAAAAAGAAATTAGGAGCCGGGCAGTGGTGGCGCACGCCTTTAATCTCAGCACTTGGGAGGTAGAGCCAGGCAGATTTCTGAGTTCTAGGCCAGCCTGGTCTACAGAGTGAGTTCCAGGACAGCTAGGGCTACACAGAGAAACCCTGTCTCGAAAAAAAAAAAAAAAAAAAGGAAGAAAGAAAGAAAAAAAGAAAGAAAGAAATTAGGATATTCCTGTATGAGTGGTTATGAAACAGTTTTATCATTGTTGCTTATTTACTAAGCCCTAAAACTTTGGTCACATGGCAATAAGCACAACTTCCTTAATATATATCATATAACCATGACTCATCAACATGTCATTTCAAGCAGGAATACCTAGTGATTCTAAAGAACCTAACAATCATTGACTTTAAAACCACACTTATCCACGTGACAACTTTTCCTACTTAGCTTTACTATGAGAACAGATATAATTTTGAGTATAATCTCTGGGTACGATAGTTAGACTTAATGGTTAAACTATAGCATGAATATTTACTACACTGATTTGCTCATTTCTCTTTATAATGCTTTTTTTAGGGTTTTTTTGTTTTTTGCTTTTTTGTTTTATTTTTTGTTTTTCGAGACAGGGTTTCTCTGTGTTGCCCTGGCTGTCTTGGAACTCACTCTGTAGACCAGGCTGGCCTCGAACTCAGAAATCCGCCTGCCTCTGCCTCCCAAGTGCTGGGATTAAAGGCGTGCGCCATCACTGCCTGGCTCTCTTTATAATGCTTGCCCACCCAAATCCATAATAATTTCCCTGGTATTCTTGACTATAATTCCTCATAGTACTTTCCCTTTCTCTGGAGTTTCAGTTATCAAGTTCTCTCCCGTCCACACAAACCAGCACGTGACTGAGAAGTATGTGGAAGAGCTTAGTACACATGAGTGCACTCAGCATGAACATTTGACGAACTGGCATTTAGGTAGCCAAGAATACAAATCTGTTTTTCTTTCTCCCAGTATCTGTATGCTCTTCCATTCTTGTTCAGTTTGTTGATTCATGCTTCTCTCACCTTCCCATCCATGAGTATGAAATAATGACACAATCTCTTGCCATTGATAACTTACAGGCAATAAAAGTTGGCGACAGCTTTAAGGTAGACAGTGACTTAAATGAGCTGAACACACACCTGCTCTAGGGTATGGCACAGTTGGTGGTGGCTTCCAGGCTGTGGCTCATGGAGCGCCTCTTGCCCTTTTACTTTCTCTCCTTCCTTTCCCACGTTCCTTTGACTTGCCTGTGAATAACTTTTGTTTCATTTCTGTCATTTGCAACTCTGCTGGGCCTTATTTTAAACTTTGGCTTGTGTTTACTGGTTTACAAAAGCTCACTATGTACAGGTTTAATGCTGGATAATACAGACATCAGCTTCAAGTATAGATGTCATTCAAGAAACCCCTCTGACTTCTTTACCTAGAAATAATCTTTTCTTCCCTCGAATTTCATTATCCATTATTTTCACCTCTGTGTCATAGATCACCTTCTATAATAAATGTATTGGTTTTATTTATGCCCATATGTTATTCTCTTCAGTCACTGTGTTCTGTAAAATAACATCTACCATTGATCAGTTGATTGTCAAGATCTTTCTACAAACAGGCCTATTTGAACTTCACAACTACTTCCCAGGAAGTAAGCTTTTTAGTCTTCACTTTATAAGCAAATCCCTAAGAAATAAAAAGATTAATATGGAGAGATGGCTCAAAGGTTAAGAGCATTGATTGCTTTTCTAATAGACCCCAGTTTGATTCTCAGCACTCACATGGTAGATCACAACTGCCTGTAACTCCAGCTCCAGGGTCCCTGATGCTCTCTTCTGACCTCTATGAGCACTGAGTGTGTAAGTGGTCTGCAGACATACTTACAGGCAAAACATTCATACACATAAAATGAAATAAAATAAAGCAAATGTATTGTCTCTGACAGAAGCCTCCATTCAGACTCAGCTAATGTGTCCTCAGAGTTCGTGCCCTCCAGTGATGCTTTCTGTACATTGCAGGCACTAACGACCCCCTTTAATTAATTAGTGGATCAATTCATCAATGAAACAACAAGGCTGTTGAGTAGTTGTTCATAGAGCATGCCAATTTCAGAAACTTCTGACCCACACATAGCATTAGGATAGCTAAGACTGTAAAGCATTTAGGAATAAAACCAAGCTGATCATTACTAAAACAAAATTTTTATATTTTTTTTCTTTTTTCTTTCTTTCTTTTTTTTTTTTTTTTGGTTTTTTTTTTCGAGACAGGGTTTCTCTGTGTAGCCCTGGCTGTCCTGGAACTCACTCTGTAGACCAGG